CAATTTTTTTCTCCGAAACAAAGATGACACAAGGTAACAGCACATTTAGCTTTCTCTGCTAGTTGATGTCATTTTGTTAGTCACAACCTTAAGGTGATCACCTCTGATGCTGTATGTAAAACTAAAACCTGAAAGAACTACCCACTTAATACTTAAAATAAAATACAGCCTTCTTTAGCGAGACTTGTTGATTGCAGCATGAAACGACACATTTATACACAAGGGTCCGTGTATGTATTGTTTGTTTTTCAATTTGAAATGAAATAAGCAGAAACGAGAAAATGGTAGTTTTTTGTTTTTTCATTTGTTCAAAAAAGAAACAAAAAAAACTGAGATTTTGGCTCGATTTTTTATTTTTTGGTTCACGGGTATATAACGCTCCGGTTACTAATGTAACCTCGGTTCCCTGAGATAAGGGAACAAGCAATGGCACTTTAGCCCACCAGAAAGGGTGGAGCTGACCCCTATATAAGTTGGCTCAGACCGCCATTAATCAGATCATTCGACTGAAGCGACAGTCATCGATTCACGTGCAGCTTATAGCCTTATCTCAGGGAACTGAGGTTATGTTAGTAACCAGAGCGTACCCTTTCGAACAGTCTTTCCCGTTGCGTGAAACGCTACGGGGAACGCATCCAATCATGCCGCGCTATGAGTAGATACAGAACATCCTGCTCTTTGAGCCCAGTCTCGGAGCGCTACTAAGGGCCCCTAAGAACATGAGCACATTGTGCCCCAAGCTAGTAGCTGAGAAGTACTAATATAACCAGCTTTGCCCAAGGGGTGAAGAAAGGTAATTTGAACCCAAAGAACTCGCGCCTGCAAGGCCTTAAAAGGGCACCACGTCTTGGTCTGGGCACTGCCCAGACAGGCGACGCACTCACTGTGCCTGTCCGTCTCATGCAAGGGGTCTCTTGGCGTCTTCGATGGTGGTGAGCAGAGCTGGAGCTTCTTTTCCAAGGCTTCTTCTTGGCTTCTTCCAGAGTCAGCGAAGAGATGATCCTCGTCGCTGAAGGAGAATGATCTGATGGATGGCGCTCTGAGCCGACTTATATAGGGGTCGGCTCCACCCTTTCTGGCAAGCTAAAGCTCCATTGGTTTGTGCAGCTACACAAACGTGAACAAATCAGGCTTCAGTACAGAGTAAAACAGAGTTTTCCCCATTACCCATTCATGCAACGGGAGAGACTGTTCGAAAGGGAACAGATAAATGACTTCATAATTAGTTTTCCCCTTGTGGGCGATAATCTGAGCCCGTGACGTCATCCTCAGTTCGTTTAACAAAATAATAGGCCTCTGCTGCTGGACGGGGTAGGTCCTAGATCGGGCTTTCTTCTGTGTAACCTAACACGTTTTGCAGAAATATTTATTTCAGAAATTTTAATGAGCACCCAGCCTGTTTTATTTAGCTGTGTGTAATTAAACCTGTATGGTGAAGCTGCGCTACCCATAGACAGCACAGAACGGATGAGAAGTACAGATGTAAAAAAAAAAAATAGATGTAGGGGGGTCCCCCAGATATATTTTTATTAAAGGGGTCATATGATGCGATTTCAAGTTTTCCTTTCTCTTTGTTGTGTTACAAGCTGTTCGTGATATAGAAAAGATCCCCAAAGATGCAAAGACTAAAGTCTCAAACCCAAACAGATATTCTTTATAAAAGTTAAGACTCGTCCAAGCCCTCCTAAAACACCTCGTTTAAACATGCCCCCACATAGCTACATCACTGTGTGGGAAGATTTGCATAACACCGCCCAAATGTATATGCAAAGAAAGAAGGCGTAACTTTGATTCTCGCTGTAGTATTGTTGCCGCCGCCGCCATGTCGTGGAGACGCTGTGTGTTTCGTTGT